ACACACACACACGAGAATTAAAAATAGTAAAAATAAATCTTTTTAAAGAGTCAGGGAATCAGTTTCATTCAGAGGGGCTAGTGACTGAGTAAGGACATAAAAGAGACTTTTGGATGATGGCTTTCTTCGTTCTGTTTTGTTTGAGATGGGTGTCTATTGTATCCTAGGCTGGCCTGGAACTTGGTATGTAGACAAGGCTGGTCTTAAATTTTTGATCCTCCTGCCCTTGCCTCCCAAGTTCTGGGGTTATAGGTGTGCACTAGATATCCAGCCTGTTTTATTTGTTTGTTTGGTTTAATTTGATTTGTTTCCCCACTTGAACCTAGGGTTTCATTTATGTTAGACAAATGCTTTGTCAACTGATCTATATTTTTAGCTCCAATGTTTTTCTTTCCACAGAATCTTCTATGTATCCCAGGCTGGTCTTGAACCTTTGATCTTCCTGCTTCAGTGTCCTGAATGCTGAGATTTATCACTGTGATCAGTATTAAAATGCAACCCCACCGTGTGTGTATTGTGTGTGTGTATGTGTGTCTGTGTGCGTACATGTGTGTGTCTGTGTGTGTGAGTGTATGTGTGCATCTGTATGTGCATGAATGTGTGTGATGTGTGTCTCTGTGTGTGTGAGAGTGTGTGTGTGCATGTGTATGTGAGGATGTGTGTGTGTGCGTGTGTGTGTGTGTGTGTGTGAGGGTCTCCAGAGAGGCCAGACACATTGGATTCTCCTGGCGCTGTAGTCACAGCTGTTTATTAGCTGCCTGGCAGTGCCGAGAGCTAAACTCGGTTTAGGAGTATGTTCTCTCAACCACGGAGCCATTTCTTGTGCTCCCGTCCCAGATTTATTTTTTAACAGCGAGTAAAATTCACACAACATGAATTTAACATGCTCTGTTTATGACTTTCAGTGCTGGTGACTTGGGTATGTTCTGTTGTGAAATCTCTTTGAGGTGAATTTTGGTGCACTATCTAGTCAGCATCTTTGATGATTTCATAAGTATTTACTTGAAAAAGAGGAGGGGCTATCACCATAACTCAGTGAATAAAAGGTGCTTCCCTGGGACCCACATGGTAGAAGGAGATAGCCAATGCTCACAAGTTGTCCTCTGACCCCTCCGTTCTTCTTCATGACACATGCCAATGTGTACACATGCACAGACAAAATAAATAAAACGCAATAAAAAATTCACAAAAAAGAAATGGGCAAATGTTCTGGCAGTAGTGAGTCAGCATCATTCTGACCCTGGTTGGCGTGCTGGCCACCCTCTTTCTCACTGTGACCTCAGACAAGTCATTTCCTCTCTCTGAGCTTCCTTATTTGTAAAGGATGATGGTATCGGTCTCAAAAAGCTCATATTCAAGGCTGGAGAGATGACTCTGAGGTTAAGCAGGAAATGGTATGGCATGGGTAGCTCACAGCCACCTGTATGTCCAGCTCCACATGACCTGAAGCTTCAGATCTGGCTTTTGAGTGTACTTACACTCAATGCTGCAAGTGCACATATCTGTACACAGATATACACATTAATTTTTTTAAGGTATTCTCTTTTGTTTTGTTTTTTTTTAATTATTTATTTATTATGTATACAATATTCTGCCTACACATATGCCTGCAGGCCAGAAGAGGGCACCAGACCTCATTACAGATGGTTGTGAGCCACCATGTGGTTGCTGGGAATTGAACTCAGGACCTTTGGAAGAGCAGGCAATGCTCTTAACCTCTGAGCCATCTCTCCAGCCCCAATTAATTTTTTTTTAAGACAGGATTTCTCTGTGTAACAGCACTGGTTGTCCTGGAACCAGCTCTGTAGACCAGGCCGGCCTTGAAGTAACAGAGAGATCTGCCTGCCTCTGCCTCCTGAGTGCTGAGATTAAAAGCATGTGCCATCACCACCCAGCTAAAAAAGTTTTTTAGAGCTCACATTTGACAAATGTTTCCTGAGTGCTGACTGTGTGCTAGATGGAGTGGGGAGAGAGAATAAATAAAAGTGATTTCTGTTCTCCTGCTACTCACTGATGGGGGAGAGTCTTCTGTTTTGTGTTAATTTCATTGGTTAAATAAAGAGACTGCCTCAGCCCTTTAATCGGACAGAAAATTAGGTAGGCAGAGTAAACAGAACAAAATGCTGGGAGAAAAAAGCTGAGTCAGGTAGTCGCCATGATTCTCCCACTCCAGAAAGATGCAGGTTAAAATCTTCCCTGGTAAGCCACCTCGTGGGCTACACAGATTATTAGAAATGGGTTAGATCAATATGTAAGAGCTAGTCAATAATAGAACTAATGGGCCAAGCAGTGTTTAAATGAATACAGTTTCTGTGTAATTATTTTGGGGCATAAGCTAGTCATGTGGGCAGCAGGGTGCTGGGGACGCAGCCCCGCTGCTCATATTACTACAACTCCCAGTCTGGGGAGGGGACAGGTCCTGAATTCAGTGGGACGTTATGAATTTGTGTCGAAGACTGAGAGGAGATACACTGGATGAAGGATGACCAGTTGAACAGAAATGCCACTCTTCCCAGGATGGAAAAATCAGGGAAGGCTTCTCTAGGGAGGTAACTTTTGCAGGCTGAAGCATGAGAGGAAAACAGAAGATTGTACCAAGTAGAAAGTATACTTTGGGCGAAGGCAAGGATATCAAGAATCCATGGGGCAATGCATGCATGTAATCCTAGGACTGGTTAGGCACACACAGGAAGATTGCATGCCACAAATTTGAAGCCAGCCTGGGCTACATAGTGCACTCTGTGTGTGGGGAGTTGGATTCATGGAGTGGGAAGAATGAGGATGGCTCCGTGGTCATATAGTGTTGGCAGTCACTAGGTGCCCAGACTCTGAGGTCTCACACTTGGATTAATGTCTCCTTTACTGTGCCTGTCCTGAAACTCTTGCTTTGAAAAGGGGACATTGTGGTAAGGTGGTGGTGGCACACACCTTTAGACCCAGCACTTGGGAGAAAGAGGCAGATGGATCTCTGTGAGTTTGAGGCCAGCCTGGTCTACAGAGCGAGTTCTAGGACAGCCAGGGCTACACAGAGAAACCCTGTCTTAAAAAAAAAATATTCTTATGTATATGAGAGCTTTTGTTTGTTGCCTTCATGTATGCATGGGTACCACATGTGTGTCTGCTGACCATGGAGGTCAAAAGAGGGTATTGAATCCCCTGGGATCAGAGACAGTTTCAGACAGTTGTGAAGAACTGTGTGGGTCCTGGGAACTGAACTCTGAACGAGCAGTAAGTACTGGTAAACACTGAGTTATGGCTCTAGCTCTTATTTACACATATTTTTGAGATTAGGTCGCATGTATTCCCAGGCTGGTCTTGAATTTGCTATACATCTGAGGCTGACCATGCGTTCCTGATTCTTATGCTCTCTGCCCCGAGCCTTGGAATTACAGGTATACAGCATCATACCTAGTTTCTGCAATGTGGATGGAGAAGGACCTCAGGCTCTCCCTCTATAACTGTGCTGCACCCTCAGCTCTGTTTTTATCTTATTTATCTATTTATTTTGATTTTTTTCTAGGCTGGGTTTCTTTACCTCTGGCTGTCCTTGATCTTGCTATGTAGGTCAGGCTAGCCTAAAATCTACCTGTCTCTGATTCCCAAATGCTGGGATTAAAGGCTTTGTGCTAATTCCTATTTTTTAAAGTTTAAGTTAATTAATTTTTGAGATAGAGTCTCACTAGGTAGCCCTAGCTGGACTGGAACTTGCTGTATAGACCAGGATGGCTTCAAACTCACAGAGCAACGCCCACCTCCGACTCCCAAAGGCTGAAAGTAAAAATGTGTGCTCCCTTACCCAGCCATATTTTTATTAAAATGATAATTTATAAGGTGCAATGTGACGTTATGGAGTATTCCTACAATGGAGAATGAACCAAACTGGGAGGCTTTTTATTTGCAGTGCTGGAGCTGGGCCTCAAATATCCTAGGCAGACGTTGACCTCTGAACTGTGTCCTCAGCCTAATGAAGAGGGTGGTGCAGTTAGTGACAGCCACAGCTGTCCTACAGAGCAGACATTTCTGTTCTCCTATGTGCCCGCTTTAGGCCCACCTCATTCAGGCGACTCACTGTGTTCTGCCAAACTGGGGAGTGGCATTCATTCACAGAGGTCAGACGAGGATGCTGTCAAGTGTTCTGCTCTACACTCTCTGCCTTTTTCCCTTGAGACAGGATTGCTCACCAGGTTTGGATCTTGGCTGGCAGGCAGCAAGCCTCAGCAATCTTCCTTTACAGCTCTGGGGTTATGGGAGTATTTGGCAGCACCCAGTGTTATTATATGAGTAGTGGGGATTCGAACTTAGATCCTTAGGCTTATCTGCTGAGGTATCTCCAGAATTCTTCAGTTTTATTATTTTGCTGCATACCTGGCCTGCTCCCAACATTTCTTTTCTTACTTTCTCCTTCCTTTTTTCTAGTACTGGAGATGAAACCCAGGGCCCTCAATACACTGTGAAAGCACCGTGTCCCTGAGCTACAGTCTCAGGCTTCAAATTTGTTGCAGAATTTTTTTAAGACATGGGGTCCAATCTGTCCACCATGTGACAAATAATCCCAATGTACCATTGAGTTAACAGTCCCTGAGAGGGGCCTTCTACCATTGACCCAGAATCTGTCTCCTGCACTCAGGGATGGCAGTAAAGGGTATGTTCGATGTTGTTTTCCTGTAGAACTGAGTTCTGATGGTCTGCGGTGGGAATCTGCTTTTTTTGTTGTTGTTGTTCTGTTTTTGGAGACAGGATCTCACTGTGTAGCCCTGACTGTCCTGGAATTCACTTCGAAGACCAGGCTGGCGTCGAGCTCATGGAGATCTGCCTGCCTCTGACTAACAAGTGCTGAAATTAGAATTAAAGGCATGTGCCACCACCATGAAGTGGAAACCTGCTCCCCCCCCCCAAGATTTATTTATTTATTATTGTATACAGTGTTCAGTCTGCATGTATACTTGCACAGCAGAAGAGGGCATCAGATCTCATTAGAGTTGGTTGTGAGCCACCATGTGGTAGCTGGGAATTGAACTTAGTACCTCTGGAAAAGCAACCAGTGCTTTTAATGGCTGAGCCATCTCTCCAGCCCCCAGAAACCTTTTTTTTTTTTAAACACTGCTTTCTCTGGTTACTTTTCCTCCAGGCTTCACTTTCTCATCCCCCAACAGGAAGTTCTAGGGTTGCCTCCAATTCATCATTTTATACTAAAATTCATTTATTTGTTTTTGTTTTCTTGATTCCGTGGTAGAGGTTAGAACCTTGGTGGGAAACAAAATACAGTGGTTCATTTTCAACACAAAAGTCCCTTAGATGGGCTTTGGTTTTAGGTAAGTAAGAGGCATTGGGTTCCTTTTCCTAATAGCTTGTGCCTTTTTGTTTGACCTTTGAGCTAACCTTTTCAAACCAAAGGTTATCTTGGGATTGGTGATACAGGCAGCTTGCTACATTATGACTAAGACTGTACACTGAAAAAAGGGGAAATAGAATCTAGAATGAATAGAATCATAAAAAAAGAGACAGTTTTCCCCCTAACAAAACATGCTTGCTGTTTTTGTTGGCATTTGACTTTGCAAGGCCATAAAATAAACTGCCTCCATTTTTATTCTAACTCTGTAGCACTCACTGTTATGATAGCTTCAAAGCAATCCTCCTTCCTCAAGCTACCAAATGCTATGATTACGGATGCGAGCTCCCATATCCAGTTTTATTTATTTTGCCATTCTGGAGTCAGGATCAAGAGCCTTGGCTGGGCAGTATTGGTGCACGCCTTTAATCCCCGCACTCAGAAGACTGTGTCAGGGGGATCTCTGTGAGTTCAAAGCCAGCTTAGCCTACAGAGTGAGTTTCAGAAAAGCCAGGAACACAAGATCCCATCTCGAAAAACCCAAAAGAAAAAGAAAAAAAGAAACAAAAGGTTTCTTGTCAACTAGACTCTCTAGCACTGAGCCACACACTTGGCTTGGGTTTTGGTCTCCAAGTTGACTTTTGAGTAAAGCCAAAGTGAGACAATGCTCATGGAGACTTCCTTTCAGTGGTCCCTTTATTGGAGGTCTGTGGTTGCTCAAAGGAGCATCAGGGATAGTGCTTCCTGGATCTCCAAGGCTCCCTCAGAGGAGTTTTTAGTTTTCAGCCTAGAAGAAATAAGAGACTATGAGACTTAGGGTGTATGCACGGTTAGGTCTGCCCTCCTTGCTATGGAGTCTTGGCTATGGGACAGGATAGGGGCCCAAAGTGACAGAGTGGATGCAAAGCTGGTTATACTTGGGTGTAATGGGAAAACATCTGTAATCCCAGCAGTTGGGAGACTGAGCAGTTGGGAGACTGAGGAGATTTTGAAAGTTCAAGGTTAACATTGGGCCACCCATGAATGGCACACACCTTTAGCCTTTAATTTAGGAGGCAGAGACACGTGGATCTCTGAGTTTGAGGCTACATGGTGGAAACCTTGTCCCCCCCTCCCCCCAAAATCCAGGTTACACAACAAGTCCCGATTACAACAAACAAAATTCAAGCATACCAAATCAATCACAAACCCATCTACAGGCAAGGGCGGGCAGATAAATAGCTTAATGAAAACGAGTGGTAAGATAAGTAGGGGTTGGAGGGTCAAAAGTTCAGAATCATCCCTCCTGGACTTGTCTCAAAATGGGAAACCTTGTCTCAAAATCAAATGACAACTGGGAGATGACTCAACCAGTAAAGTGCTTGCGTTGCTAATGTGAAGACCTGAGTTTGATCCCCAGAACCCACATAATGATACTGGCCAAAGTGGAAACTTTTAATCCCAGAACTGGGCATCTGGAGACAAGAGGACCCTTGGGGCTAACTAGCCAGTAAGCCTAGTCTGTTTGTTGAGCTTCTGGTCAATGACAGCCCTTCTCTCAAAGGAAGTAGATGACTTTTCTGAGGATGACACAGGAAGTAGCCCTTAAACAGCAGACATCAGAACACACACGCACACATACATAGACATGTGTTAAAAAGAAGATAAAATGGAAGTAGCAGTTGGATGTGATATACTTTGAAACCTTACAATCTCAGCACTTGAGGTGGAAGTCAACATGAGCTAATGGGTTTAAGGCTAGCCTGGACTATACCTCGAGCCTTTGTTTCACAACCAATCAATCAAACAAACAAAACAAAACAGACACAAGTAATGGGATTGTCCTGGTGTGATCAGAAGCTAGGATTAGGCTTTTCTTTTTCTGTCTTTCTTTCTTTCTTTCTTTCTTTCTTTCTTTTTTATTTTTGAGACAGGGTTTCTCTAAAGCTTGGGAGCCTGTCCTGGAACTAGCTCTTGTAGACCAGGCTGGCTATGAGCTCACAGAAATCCACCTGCCTCTGCCTTCCAAGTGCTGGGATTAAAGCCGTGTGCCACCACTGCCCGGTTTAGGATTAGGTTTTTAGGGTGACTGTCTATGTCTAGATTGCTCTAATGTAAGAATCTTCAGGAGTCTTGGCAGGTATCCCACAAAACAAAACAAAAACAAAACCCCAAGAATCTTCACGAGCCAGAGACCATCAAGAACCATTAGGGTTGAGATGAGCAGAGAAAGCAAGGCAGGGGTAGGGACTGGACTGAGGTTATGCAGACGATCTATTGGGGTAAAGTGTCACACAGTTCAGGTTAGTGTTGTGTGAACAGAGAGCTTCTGAATGGGAGGCTGGAGTGAGTACTAGGCTGGATGGCCTGGGATAAGGTAGGCAGAAGGGTTTTGTCTCGAGCCTTGTTATAAATTAATAAAAGATGCCATAAGTTTGGTAGTGAGGATCTAAGACAAATTGCTCTTTAGATGAGAGCCTTATCTGGATATTATCAGGCTGCAAACAATCATGATAGGCCCTAAAGAGAGAGAAACTTCAGTTCCAAAGAACCTCAGGAGTTCCTGGCTCTGACATATTTCAGGGATGGATGTGGGGCTTGAGAGGTAGGGTGGGTATTCACACCATGCAGTCTACCACCAAGAGTCAGCAAAGCAGACTAGAAGATTTTGTTAGCTGGGTGGTTGTGATCAGGCAGAGTTACGCAATCTTTGTGAGTTCAAGGCCAGCCTGATCTACAGAGCAAGTTCCAGGACAGCCAGGGCTACACTGAGAAACCCTGTCTTGAAAAACGAAAACTTTTTTTTTTTCTTTTGACAGGGTTTTACTGTGCAGGAACTTGCTCTGTAGCCCAGTCTGGTCTTGAACTCAGAGGTCTGCCTGTCGCTGCCTCCTGAATATGGGATCAAAGCCATGAGCCACCATGCCTGGCTTAAATAAGAAGGTAAAGTCGGGAGTAGAGAGCCAGTCAGGAGTGAAGAGCCCTTGCTGCTTCCATGGAAAACCCAGGTTCTGTTCCCAGCACCCATCAAGTAAGCCCACAAGGGTTGGTAAACTCCGCGACAGGGGTTCTGATTTCCACTTCTGATCTCCTTGAGCACTGACACATGTGTAATGAGCGCGCGCGCACACACACACACACACACACACACACGTGCGCGCACGCGCAGACACTGCAAATAAAATAAACCTTCTGAAAAAAGAATAAACTTGTAATTCAAGATTGCTTTAGTGCTATATAGCAATTTCCTATTAATTGAAATATCCTCTCAAGGAAAGAATTAGGGTTCCTCCATCAAGGCTGGTTAGATGGAAGCTTAAACAGCTGCTGCGGGAGAAAATGGGGGACAGGACTGACGAAACATTTGCCAAAAATTGCCCTGAAGGGTTCTTCCCTAGTGAGCTGCTTACAAGTTGTGTAGAGGGCTCAGGATTGCAGCTTTCATCATTCATCGCCCATGGTGAAGTGACTTCCCACGATGCAGCTGCTTTTGTTTTTGTTTTGTTTATTTGTTTTTTGAGACAGAATTTCTCTGTCGGTTTGGAGCCTGTCTTGGAACTAGCTGTTGTAGACCAGGCTGGCCTCGAACTCACAGAGATCCGCCTGCTTCTGCCTCCTAAGAGCTGGGATTAAAGGCGTGCGCCACCACTACCCAGCTGATACAGCTGTTTTTTTTAAGTCATTCCTGATCCTGTAAGGAACCCCTCATCTGTACTCCTGTAAGTAAACCCAGTAAAAACAACCAAGTTGGATTTTGTAGAGAACTGTTACTATTTGAGGTATGACCCTTCAGGAAGTCTCTCATAACACTTGGCCAAGAGTGTCAGAGAACATCAGAAAGGCAACAGTGGCCTGCTCTACAATTTCTGAGAGACTTTTGGTAGGTGTTGCCCAATTTGGGGGAGACAGTTGGGCAGCTGGAGGTCTGTAATCTAACAGGTATGTGTAACAAAGATCTCACTGAGGTTATAAATCAGAGGGGTGCCAGCAGAGGGGTTGGCAGTCAAGCAAAAGACAAGCTGACTTGGGGGGCAGGGCCAGGGCTGAAGATGTGTTTTCAGAACAGACAGGACAGATGATGCCACGGGCAGTGACAGGCAGACTCACCGCGGTGAAGTGAGGCCAGGTGCGCAGCAGGTTGAAGAGTGCATTCCCAGGGCAGTCGCTGTGCACTAGCTGGCGGTGGCCCAGCACTTTGTAGTCTGGCAGCAAGTGGCCTGAGCGAATGGCGCAGCTCGGGAGCACGTCGCGAACCGTCTTCAGCGCTGCGTCGCTGGGCAGTGATCCAGTATAGTTGCCCACGAAGGCGACGCCGAAACCGCGACTGTTGTGGCCGCGCGTATGTGCGCCCACCCAGTGCCAGCCACGGCCCTCGTACACATAGCCGTCGGATCCTACCACGAAACTGCGGAGGGGTTGGGGTAGGGCGGTTAAGCACCTTTCCTGGCTGCGTCCTCATCTGGACACACCCCCAGAGTCTGTCTCAATGCCTTATGACACCGAGTGTAATACACTGTCTCTGTTTCATCCAATTCAGTATCATTTGAACACCAAGTGCCACCCCAGAAACCGTTCTCTCTTGCAGAATGCCTTAATCACAGCATTCAAAGAAAGAAGCAGGCAGAACTCTATGAGTTCGAGGCCAGCTTTTTCCACATAGCGAGCTCCAGGCCAGTTATGAGACCTTGTTTTATTAAAAAAAAAGAAGAGGAGGAGGAGAACGGAAAAAGAAGAAAAACAAAAAGCAGCTGGGTGTGCACACCTTTAATCCCAGCACTCGTGAGCAAAGGCAGCTGGATCTCTGAGGTTGAAGCCACCCTGGCCTACAGAGTGAGTTCCAGGTCAGTAAGGGCTACAGAGAGAAACCGTGTCTCAAAAAACAACCAAACAAAAACTTTACCTTTTCTGAAAAACTGATCAAGTCCCTTTTCACTCTTCTCCCCTCTCTATCCCTTGCCGGGATATCTCCATCCCTATCCGGGACCTTGCTCCTCACCTCCACCCTATCCTGGTTCTTGACCACGCCCACTACAAACTCCCTCTTCTACTTGCCAGTCTCCGCCCACTTGTTTTACTCCCTACCTTCCAACCTCTCCCACAGTAGCCTAGGCCAGGTTCACCTGTAGCCGATGTCATCCCAGTGACGCACGTCCTGGTGGAAACGCTGCATGGAGCGCATGTTAGCCGCACAGCGCTGGAAGGTGGTGCAGGGTGGTGCTGGCACGTATGTGTGATGCACATATAAGAATCCGAGTGGCAGCCGGAGTGGTGTCGGGTTGCCTCGGTAGGGCGCGGCTCCCCAGCGGCAGCGAGGGAGAATGGCTGGGCATCCTTCAGGAGCAAGGGAGACTCTGATCATCAAGCATTTCATTTTGGAAGACTGAATCTCTATTAAGGTGAACCTACGGGCATCCCTCCGGTCTCCAGGAATTGGCAAGAGTCTAATTTTAGGACAGAAAGGTGACTCAGAGGGCACACACACACAGAGATAGATAGATGATAGATAGATAGATAAAAGATAGATAGGTAGATAGATAGATAATAGATAGATGATAGGTAGACACAGATAGACAGACATAGTTAGTCTTGGATTCTGTTATGTCTCTGCCACTTCCAGGAGAAAGACCAAAAGTGTGAGTATGATGGTGCATTTCTGTTAATCCCAGCATTTGACGAGATTAAAGAATTGAGTTTGCAAGCTCAAGACCAGCCTGGGCTATGCAGACCTTGTCTAAATAAAATCGGGAAAAAAAAAATCAATCCCCATGTGTTTCCTTTCAACTGTGTGTGTGTGTGTGTGTGTGTGTGTGTGTGTGTGTGTATGTGGTGCTAGAGTTCAGGATCTCATGAAGCCCAGGCCGCCCTTTAATATATATTCCTGGCTGCCTTTGATATTCCGTGATCCTCTGGCCTCTGCCTCTTAAGAGCTGGGATTGCCAGCATGCATCACTGTGTGCATTTTCCTGTGGTGACAGGATTGAATGCAGAGTCTTATGTATACACTCTACCAACTGAGCTATACCCCCAGTCCCTCTTTAAAAAATTTAAATCAGCAGAGGCAGGCGAATCTCTGTGAGTTCGAGATCAGCCTGGTCTACAAGAGCTAGTTCCAGGACAGGCTCCAAAGCCACAGAGAAACCCTGTCTCGAAAAACAAACAAACAAAAAAAATTATTCCAGGACCAACTCTTGCATTTCTTTGACTCTGCAGCTGTCCCTATCTTCACTGCTGTCCCCTTGGGATACTCTGGGCCCTTGATCCCACTCACCACAGGGGGCTGGGAGTGTCTATTAATGAGGAGTCAGGAGAGCTCCTTACCCAGGAAAGTCTCAGTGAATTCCTTGGTAGCAAGGGTAGCCACCTGAGCCAGCTCTTCTTGGGTCATGTTCTGCAACTGTGGCTGTTTTGGCTCCAGTCTCTGTAGCTGGACAAGGGCCTCCCATACCTGCTGGGCCAGGGTAGGAGCGGAAGTCAATGCAGCCCCGTTCTGCCTTCGGAAGTTACTTCGGAACTTTGGATCGCCAGCCACCCCATCTCCATAGTACTCTCTCAGCAGGTGGCTGAGGGGTGGCCGGGGCCTAGAAACCCGGCTCAAGTGATCCCCAAGGAGAGCTCCATCCAAGGCACCATTGAGGAAAGCCATGGTGAGCCTGGATGCCTTGGGGTCCAACAGTGTGAAGACCCTGGGGTCAGAAAGCTGGTCCCAGCAACCCTCGGTTCCCAGTCCTGGAGAACTCTGAGTCTGGGAACCGTGGAGGAATGTCAGACCCAAGTCTCCAGCCAAGATGACTGCCAAGAGTCTGTCCACAGTGGTGGGAGTCTTGGCTTTTTCGTTTGGTGAAGTGGCTCCAACATCTGTAGAAGAGGCTTTTGTGGAGGCGTCCATTAGTCCTGGCCAGATGGCTGCAACGTTTGTCGTGGTGTCTCCAGCATCACAAGGGGTGGCCAAGCAGTCGTGCCCCTGCAAACCAGCCTCTAGCCCAATCAGTAGAGGCTTCACGGCTACAGTGGAGCCATCAGGTGCCAACACCACTCCGTATTCCTGCCCATCCTGTACATCATGTTGGGCCACCTCTGACATCAGAGCCTGAAGTTCTGGGCTCAGTGAGTGGGGCTCTGACTCTGTCGTGTTGTGGCTTGGTACCTTCCGCAGCAAGTACTGGTGAAGAGAATTGTGGGGGCTGAAGTGGTTGGCTGACAGTATCCGTGCAGGGGCAGTGCCACTGGCCTCAGTTACCGGCACCTTTTGCTCAAGCTCAGCAAGGGCCTGGATGATGGAGTCCATGAGCAGGGGTAAGGAGGAGGCTGCAGGAGGAGAAAATGCATCAGCATCGCTTGTTCCTGATCCTCTCCAGTACATGTTGTATTTCCCTAATTCCTTCCGACACCACTGTGACCAGCACTACCGTTGTGTAGAGGGGGAAACTGAGACACCCAGACTATTCCTTGTTGGTTAAGGAGTTTGGACTGTCCAGGAACACTGAGGATCATGAGCAGCAGAGCAGCCCGGCCAGGATGGCATTTGTGGTGGCTTAAGTAGGAATGTCCCTCATAGGCTCATATATTAGAATGCTTGGTCATCACGGAGTGGTGCTATTTGAGAGGGATTTAGGAGGCGTGGTCTTGTTGGAATACATGTGGCCCTGCTGGAGTGGGGTTTTGGGGTTTCAAATGCTCAAACCAGGCCAGGTAGCTGTCTCTCTTCTTCCTGCTGCATGTGGATCCTGATGTAGAACTCAGCTCCTCCTGCACGGGGTCTGCCTGTGCACTACCTTGCTTCCCACCATCCTAATATGGACTAAATCTCTGAAACCGTAAACTGGCCTTGATTAAATGTTCTCCTTTATAAGAGGTGCTGTGGCCATGGTGTGTATTCACAACAACAGACCAAGACAGCATTCTAAGCTTGTTGTTTGGGCTACAATATGGAAATGGGTTTCCAAGGTTCTAGATGAGGGGCAAACAGAAGAGGGGTAAATGAGGAAGGTGGTTGGTGGTATAGCGTTGGCAGTGAACAAAAGCATGGAAAATTTCTACATATGTAGGGGTAAAGACAAATCACTTAAAAATTACTATTGGGGCTGGAGAGGTGGCTCAGAGGTTAAGAGCACTGGCTGCTCTTCTAGAGAACCCAGGTTCAATTCCCAGCACCTACACGACAGCTTACACCTATCTGTAACTCCAGTTCCAGGGTTTCTGATACCCTCACACAGCTACACATGCATCCAAAACACCAATGCATATACATAAAATAAAAATGAATTATCAAAAATTACTATTATTTCAAGTTTTACTCTTACTATTTTTAATTGGTGGGGGGTATGTGCATGTGGATGTTAGAGGTTTTGGATATACTGGAACTGGAGTTACCTGGTGGTTGTAAATCATCCAGTGTGGGTGCTGGGAACAGAACATGGATCTTCTGCAATGGTACATTGTCTTAACCACTGAGACATCTCTCCAGCTCAGACAGTTTCTGGTGATAGATTACAGTTGGGCAATTTTAGGAGGAAAAGTATGTCAAAGGATTACCTGAGGCTTATGTAGCAATTTTCTCTAACCTGAGGCCTCTTACTAAGTCTCGGGAAGTAATCCAACATACAAGTCTCAGGAAACTCCTAAAACCTATGAAATTTAAGAGGCTCTTCTCCCAAGATTGTATAAGCAACAACAACTATAGAGAAGAAGAGACTTGCCCACCAGCCAAGCTGCCTGAAAGTTCAGCAAGGAGCTGCAGGACTGCAGCTTTTGTGAATCGTCATTGATCCTGGGGATGGACTTTTTGGTGATACAGCTGTATTTAAATCACCCATATTCCTATAAGTAATCCAAAGTAAACATACTGGCTCACTGAGCTATACTTGAGCGGAATAATTTCTTTGGTCCACCATTCGTACCCTATTTGGTGCATAAGATGTTCGTTATCAATTCGGAAGTAGTCACATGACACCAAGGAAGCTGAGTACAATGGCTCATGCCTGTAATCCCAGTCCTCAAGAAAGCTGAGACAGAAGGACCACCACAAGTTCAAGACTAGCCTGAACTACATAGTTCCAACCTTTCCTGGCTACAAAGTAAGACCTTGCCTCAAGCAAACAGACACACAGACAGATGGACAGACAAACAAACAGCCTATGGGGAGAGGAGAATGTGTTTTTCCCTTTTCAAGAAAGGCAATCTAGATGTTAGGTTACCAGGCTCACAGAAGAGTTAGGGGTTGTTGAATAATTGCCAATGTTTATTTAAACATTAACTATGTGTCAGACATCACTCTAAGTGATACATAAAATTTATTTAATTCTCACAAAACTTCCTGTTTACAGATGAAGCTTCTGAGATGGAGAGGACCTGTTAGCTGCTTCAGGTCACATAGTTAGGAAGTGCAGGAGGTTTAATTTGCATCTAGGAAAGTTGGTTCTTTTGTTATAGGGTTTGCTATATAGTGCAGGCCCGCCTCTAACTCATTATATATCCCCGGCTAAACGTCCTCCTGCCGTCCCATGTTCTGGGGATACCGACAATTGTTTCCACACCCAGAGCCTCCAGGTCATTTTAATCCTGTACCCTAGCGTCTGGAGGGCAACCCATTCTGTAACTTTGTTTCTGCTTAAATTATCAGGTCTTTTCTGCTTCTCAACCAAACCCAGCTCTCGCTCCTCCCATCCTAGTTGTGTGAGGTTTTTCTCCAGGAAGCTACCCTTGGTTTTTGTTCCCAACCCTCTCACCCCCTACCCCCCGCCCACCCCGGCCTTGTCTACTCTCTGACACCCCTTCCTTGACTCTATGGGTGTTGGAAACGTGTGGTGCCCTAATAGCAGTTTGCTGAGAGCTGGAGCCTTGACCCGCTAAGGTTCAACAAAACAAGTTCCCCTCCCCCAAGGCCTCAAGCTTTGAACTCACCTGTCTCTGACTCTGGCCACAGCAACAGCAAAATCCAGAGGACACCCTGGACTTTTATCATTGTGGGGCTCCAGTTCCAGGGCAGAGGCCCAGCAGAAAATCTCAGAGGTGCTGGGAAGAGAGGGGCGTGAGAATTGACCTGATTTAACAAAGCACAGCAGGACGGCACACTCACCCCAGCAGAGTGAAGAGTGAGTAGAGAGCCTGGGTCAAGGTTATTTAGGTCTCAAAGTCTCCACCATCCTGTCCTGTTCCCGCCCAGTGTGACCTGATAGGTCAGTAAGTCAGATCCATGCCAAGAGAAGCCTGTAGACTGGGAAGCTCAAACTCAGAAATGTCCGTGCCCTTGCCTTTAAAAAATATAAAAATATAAAAAAAATATAATTAATTTTTTCCAGTACTGGAGATTAAACTTAGGGCCTTATGCATGCCAGGCAAACACTGTACCTTTGAACTCTGTCCCCTGACTCCCTTTTACATTTTATTTGATTTTATTTAAAAGGTTTGAGTGAATTCAAGGCCAACCTGTTCTACATGGTGAGTTCCAGGACAGCCGGGGCTACAGACAAAATCCCCTGTCTCGAAGAAGAACAACTATATATAAAGACCTTCAAATTTAAATTCGAATGTACTATTATTGCATGTGTGGGCAGAGTATGTGTCCATGAGATGGGTGTGGGTTTGAGCATTTGCCAGGCATGACACTGGAGATAAGAGGGCAGCTTTTGGGAGTCTTTTCTCCTTCCACTTCAAGATCTAGAGATAAAGCTCAAGCTGTCAGGCTTGCAGAAAAATACCTTTACCTTTCAAAACATCCCTTTATTCAACTTATTTTAATTGTTAACACGTGTTTGTATGTATGTGGGTTTTTGTTTGTTTGTTTGTTTTCAAGACAGAGTATCACCATGTAGCCCTGGAACTCGCTCTGTAGCCCAGGCTTTCCTCAGCCTTGGAGATCCACCTGCCGCCAGTGCTGAGATTAAAGGCCTATGACACAGCCCTTGCCACCTGTTACAGCGGCCATGTAGTCTAGGCTTGCCTCAAACTCAGGGTCCTCCTGCCTGAGACTCCTGAGTGCTGGGGTTATAGGTATGTACTACTACACCCACTTTAATATTTCCCGTTCTCTGGAGTGCTGCTTTACTGTCAATCTATCTACCATACTCTGCCCTGGCTCTGTAGCTACTGTCTGCCTCTAGAAGAACCTCTCAGCCGCTTGGTAAGACAGACTATGCTGGCTGGACAAGGTGGAAGCTTGTTTTGTTATCTGAGACTTTTTCCTTTCATTTCTCTTTCCTCTTTCTTTCTTTCTTTCTTTTTTTCTTTCTTTCTTTCTTCAGAGTCATTATGTAGTCCAGGCTGTCTCAGAACTTGTAATGTAGATCTGACTGCCCTCAAACACAAAGATCTATTCCGTTTCTGCCTCCTGAGTGCTAGGATTAAAGGCACGAGCCATCACACCCAGAGACATAAACAGTTTTTAAGGAAGAAAGATAACGTTGGTCTTACAGTTTCGATAGTTGTAACCCTTGGTCGGTCTGCCTGACTGCTTGAGCCTGTAAAGAGAGAGGAACGTATCTTGCAGAAAGCTGCTTACCTCACAGAAGCTGAGACGAAAGAGCAGAGAGAAAGGAAAGGTCGAGTCCCCTTTGGTGACTTCCTCCCACTAGCCCACTTGTCTTAAAGATTCCATCACCTCTAGCACCACATGCTGGGCACTACCCTTTAACGTGGGGGCCTTCCTGGAATCTTTCACATCCACACTTTAGCAAGCAGAGAGAGGAAGCCTGTGGTTAGTACCACCCCATCTCCTGTGCTTCACCCCGCACTCATGCAGGATGTTGGAGGGCTTGGGGTCTTCCTCTTCTTCCTCTGCTTTTAATCCCCCCCATCGCTGGCATCTGCACAGCACCATGGTGCATGTGTGCCTGAGGACTGTGGACACGGATTCTCTCCTGCTCTGTGGGTCTCAGTGATGAAATTCGGGTCATCAGGCTTAGGGACAAGTGCCTTTACCCTCTGAATCATCTCACTGGCCATGGTTTTAAAAAAAATCTGAGAGCGTTTAAGTCCATGCATGTGTGTGTTCGTGTGTGCAGGCATGGGTGGTGTATGTATATGAGTGCGTGCCCCATGTGTGCACATTCAGAGTGGGAGGAAAATATCAGTATTTTCTTCTATCCCCGTCTGTCTAATTGCCTTGAGATAGGGTCCGCCTTGAACCAGGAGATCATTAGTAAGTATAAGACTGGCTGCAAGCTCCCAGGATCTACTGTCTATCCCTGCTTCCAAACGCTGGGTTTAGTGGCTTTTTAACATGGTAGAAATGGGGGGGCATCTAACTCAGCCCCTCACTCTTGCACAGCAAGTGCTCTGACCCACGGAGCCATCTTCTCTGTCTTCTGTCTTTTGTGTTTTGAGAAAGGGTCTTCCTCTGTCCCCAAGTCTGGCTTCGAGCACAAAGCAATCTTCCTGCTTTTGTTAGAATTACAGATAGAGTCACCATGCCTGGCTCTAGAAGATGGCCTCCTCCCAACCAGTTCCAGCCCCTGATGAAACAAAAAAACAGGGCTCTGGTTTTAGCCTAGGAACCTACCTGGATTGCTGTAGTAGGGAGACTGCTCTGTGTGAGAGCCGTCCTCCTCCCTGGGTACTGATGTCTGAGTCCAGCTGAATGGCCTCTCTCCGCTTCCTCGCCTTCCAGGCTGTCCTCGACCCTCTTCTGTAGCCTTCCTCGGTCTGGATCTTTTTAAAAACCTCCTGCTTCCTCATAAGTGCTGGGATCCCCGGCCAGATCACGCTCCCCTTTATTCTGGTATCAGGTGGGGCGGGCACCCTAAGGCTGGGCTATATGGAAATTGCTTCCCTCTTGGCTTCCCACCTTCAAACCAGCTTCACAACTTTCTAAGAGGCCCACCAGGCTAGGGACTCATCCTGAGGCAAGTCCCAGGCTAGGCTGGGGAAGCCCAGACTGAGCCAGATCTGGAATTCCCCATGGAGCCACCCCAGGGCTTGCTCATCTACCAGGTATTCTTACTCTTGTTCACTAGTTTGTTCTATCTATCTATCTATCTATCTATCTATCTATCTATCTATCCATCCATCCATCTATCCATCTATCTTCCTTTCTCTCTCTCCAGGGTCTCACATAGCCCAGGCTATGTAACTCCCTATGACCTTGAATTATGGCCTTCTGCTGTAGCACCCAAATGCTAGGAACACAGACATTCACCACCACAGCCTGTTTATGTGGTGCTGGGAACCAGACCTAGGGATTCCCTCCTGCTGAGCAATCTATCAACTGAGCTGCATCTCCAGGCCCAGTTACTCTCTTTCTAGTGACCAAGCCCAGCATACAGAAACAGTTCAGACAGCATGGAATTGAGTGGGTCCTACTTCTCAGAGGAGTTTGAAGCAATATTTTCCTTTAAGCCCAGGTTTCCAAAGACGTATGAGTGGCTCTGTCCGCTGAAGTTTGTGGACTGGAGCCACCAAGATGAATCAGCAGGTTAAGTCTCTCGTTGCCACCAAACGTAAGGGCCTGAGTTCAGTCCCTGGAACCCACATGGTGGAAGGACAGAACGGCCTCCTGAAGACTGTCCCCTGACCTCCCTGAGCTGTAGCGCGCACCCACCTCCACAAAATAAACGCATACAGAGATAAATAAACTTAAAAGCAAAGTACATAGGCTTTGTGTTCTCCCCGGGAAGGTACTTGGGTGAAGATTTTGCTGTGGTAACCCTGATAACCCCAGTTACCAAGATAAATTGATTTATTTTTTAATTTTTGGAGACAGGATTTCTCTGTGTATCCTTGGCTGTCCTGGAACTCGCTCTGTAGACCAGGCTGGCCTCTAACTTACAGAGATCCACCTACCCCTGCCTCTCAAGTGCTGAGATTAGAATCATGCACCACCAATACCCAGCTGATAAATTGATTTGTTAAAAGAGTTTATTTACGATTTCTTTAATAGATAGGCTTGCAAGCATGCTGGGCCAAACTACATCACTAGTCTTCCACCCTCTTTTAAAATACGGCCTCATGATGTAGCCAAATTGGCTTGAATTTATAATCCTGCCTCAGGCTCCTAAATCTGGGATTACAGAATTCTCAGTCCACTTTAATTTTTAATAAATTTGATGTGGTCCAGGCTGGCTCCAAACTAGTGATCTTCCTGCCTCGGTTTCCCCCAAAAGTTCTAGGTTCAAGACAAAACTGAGCACAAAGTATATACTTGCTGTAAGTTACCCCCCAACAAACCCCTGCCCCAACACATACAGAGTCTCCTGTTGTCAATACCCTACATGAAAGTGACACGGGAGTGACAATCGATGAGACTCTGTTGACATGCTAGGCACTCAAAGTCCACAGTCTACGGCAGAGTGTCTCCTGGGGTCATTCACTTGGACTCATATCAATGTTTGCTGTGCTGTGGGTGGAACCCAGGGCCTCACATGTTAGGTAAGTATTCTATCTATGGACTAAATAAACCCCAATCCTTTTTCTATTGAGACAGGAGCTCATTAAGTTTTCTTTAAAACTATTTATTTTTATTTATTTCTTGTGTGTTTATTTTATGCACACTGGTATATGCATGCACCCCTGTGTGCTTGTGTGTTGGTCAAAGGTCAGCATTTCCTTTCTTCTTCCCTCCATTTCTTCTCTTACCTCCTGGTTTCTTTCTTTCTTTTTGTTTGTTTCTTTCTTTTTCTTTTTTCTTTCTTTTTTTTTTTGTTTTTGTTTTTCGAGACAGGGTTTCTCTGTAGCTTTGGAGCCTGTCCTGGAACTCGCTCTGTAGACCAGGCTGGCCTCAAACTGACAAAGATACACCTGCCTTTGCTTCCCGAGTGCTGGGATTAAAGGTGTGCAACACCACTGCCCAGCTTCTTTTTGTTTCTTTAGATGGGGTCTCAATATATAACCCTGGCCTCAAATGCTCAGAGATCCACCTGACTCTGCCCACCAAGCGCTGGATTAAAGGTGTGTACCACTACACCTGGTCCTCCCTGATTTTTTGAGATCGGGTCTTATTATAGAGCACTGACTGGCCTGGTACTTTGAACCTAGACTGGTCTCAAACTCATGGCAACCTTTCTGCATAAACCCTTTTAGTGCTACTATTACCGGCATGTACCACAATGCTTAGATTTATCTTTTCTTCCTACATAGTGTGTTCCAA